TTTATTAGTGACTAAATTTTATCTATTCCACTACTAGAACTAGTGGTTTCAGTAGTGGAACTTGTACAAGTTCTTCTATATCCTAATGTTTATGATTCATATATATTATATATTTAAAATAATGAGTTTTGAACTCATTTTTCTCATTCTAATATCAATTCTTATATTTTCATAATAAGGTTTAAGTAAAACATCTAGACCATCTTTTTTAATTCTAGGATCTAATATTATAGGTAAGCAATATAAAGTAGAAATATTTTTTCCAATATCTTTTAAATTTAATTTCCATTGCATCAACAATATTCACTAAGCGTATACATTTGATTAACTAAAATACAAAATATTGGGTAATAAGCACCCAAAAATAAATTAGTTGTACCATAAAAAATGTAAAAAAATCTTTTATACAAATTACAACTTTCAAATCATCATCAATTATAAAATCATGGGACGTTTTCTCATTAAGAAAATTAGTAAGAATATCTTGATATGAAATACAATTATCTAACATAGTATATGCAGAATTTAGCTATGTTGAACATCTAATACAATTTTAGGGGGTATTTATGTTATAAATATTTAAATTCTTGAATAACTTGATATGAAATACAATTCTTGTTTGCCCAAATATCAAATGTAAGTCAAATTTTATAATTAAGACTTGAGAAAGTAGAAATTAAATTTTGTTTATATGAATAAAAAATTTTTAAAGCATATGCTCTAGTAGTAGTTCTAGAAAGGGGGAATCTCTTAAACTATCCATAAAATTTAGGAAATGGACTTACTATACCCCTATTGTTTAGACATTTCCTTAAAGTACCCTTAACTTTACTACAAATTGACATTGTTGTTAAATTGTGATGGAAAAGACGAAATGTCAAATTTACCGTTGGGCTAAATTAGAGGAAAAATAATGAAATCCTTCGGAACCTCCCTTACATCATCAGATCCTAAACAAATGGCATAGTTGTTAGATTCTTCTTCATCAATCGTCGCCACCGTTCCAGTCACCATTGGATATCCCTGCTCAACTATAAACCTCGACGATGTTGAGAAGTTGTTTAAATCGGTTTCAACTGTTGGGTTGTTAAGATCTTCATTGAACCTTCACATGGTTGCATTGCATTGATTCGGTTGTCAAGTTGGGTATGTGGGTAATGAAGTTTAAGTTGATAGAGATTGGGAGCCGTAAAATACACATTTTATGAGCATTTCTGTGTTGGTGAAAACGCGGAAGAGGTCAGTCGGACACTTGAGTTCAAAGGCTCTGGAATGATGGACTGAAGGGAATTTAATTTGGATTATAGTTCGGAGGACACCACTGAAATTGATTCATGTGAACAGAATTTGGAGGAGTTTCTTAAGACCGTCGGTTCTACCAAGTTGCTCCCACCTTCTTCTTCTGTAAGCTTTTTATTTGCTCTGTTTTCTTAAGAAGAGGATTTCTTTCATTTATTCAAGGCTTATCCTTTGATGCTCTGGTGTAACACGCATGAGTCTTCTTATGCTTCTGGGGGAAGCAAAAAGTAAAGAAGAAGCTATCTAGGTTTCGCTGGACAAATAGGCTCCTCTCACCAACTTAAAACCAATTGGAATTCCCATTTTCTCTACAACTGTTGCTTGAACCATCCTCTGTTTTGAGTTCTTTCAAGTATGCTTGAATTGTACCGAACATGATTGGAATGCCATCTTTGTTGAAGTTGATTGCGGTACAATAACTAAGATAAATTGCGGAACACATCTTTGTTGATGTGTACTTTGCATCGACAAGCAATGGAAGATTGGTTTCAAGGCATTTTTGGCACAGCTTCATCAGTCTGTGGTGGGTTTTAGTTGGAGATCATTTTCCTCTTCTGCAGTCAAAGGGTCCGGTCTTTTGAGAGTGTGATAGAAATGGATGGAATTGGTAAGAATTGGCAATGTATCACGCTTCCATGGAAGATGGAAAGTGGGGTCTTTGTATTTCCATCTCAGTAAATCACTTATGTGCTGCCCAAGCAGTGAAATTGGAGAACCATTCCTGCTCCGCTACATTGTCTTTCTCTGAAAAAAAAAAAAACAAACAGTGCAAATAATAATAGATTAAATAAAAATCAGCACCAATGACAATGAGATACAAGACAGAGAACGATTTTAAGAGATACGGCATTGTAGAGGTAGGTACACATATAGGAACGTAGAGATCGCCAGGGAAGCTGCAGGTGGAGCGGTTAGAGGAGTTGGAAATAATTCAATTAGTTATTTTATGTTGATCTTTTACAAAGGTATTTATAATTTTACCAAAATGCCCCCTAAAATAACTATTATATAGCTGTTGGAAGGGTATTTAAGTTATTTTTCTCTAAAATAAATATACATAAATACCACCCAAAATTAGTTGTTTAAAGCTATTAAAGATATTTCTATATAAAAAAAAAAACTCTCCAAAAAGTGAAAAATAGCCAAACAAGGTCTATATTATTTGGACAGGTTGGTACGTGCCAGCTTCCTGCTGAGTTGTATTAGGCCATTAAGGACAACGGCTAGGCCGCGGGCCGTATTAGCATGGCTCATGCCATGTTGTACCAGCCCGCATGCCTCAAAACCCAAACCTAGCACCAGACCAAGGAATGGCACGGCCCGTATCGTTCTTGGCCATGCCGGCCCGCGAGCGACCCAGCCCACTTAATTTACTACCCTATACTCACCAGTCACCATCATCCTACTTAATCCTAATTTTATTATGTTGTTGATTGGGTTGAAAAAGCAGACAAAAGTAAATAAAAAAAAGTCAGATAAAAGAAATGCAAAATTTGTTAGTTCAAATTTTGAATTTTTAAATTAACAAATGAGAGCAAGAACATTTGGTCACATTGACTCTGGATCTTTTATCCATACCTACTCACAATACATCACCGGTGAATTGAAAATATCTCTCCCTATATAATACTATACAGAGGATAAGATATTTCTCTATATATAACTGTAATTATGGGCAGGGTTATTGTAGACAGGAGATCCGGACTCGGTCACATTAATGTCTCGGACAGTCAGACGTATATTTTGTTATTGGCTCGTACATTTCGATAATGCCATTTTAATATTTCAACCAAATGAAGGACTTGTAATGTTGTCCTCAGACTCCGTTTGTTGTTTGCCGTGCCAATTTTTGATGAATGTATCAACCGAGTGCAAATGGGCTTCGTATAGTTCTGTTTTACTTTTTTTTTTTTTTCCGTATTTTGACTTTGTTTTGTTTGTTTGCGAGAAAAGTAAAATGATGTGGTCCTGATTTTATGCCCAAAGAGAACCAGAGGCAGAAAGAAAGCTATTTATTCATGAGTGGAGCAGGAAGCAAAATGACAAGCCCCCTCCAATTTTGTATTTATTTTTTCGATGCAAAATTCATACTATTAATAAGTGTAAAATCTTATATTTTTGTATTATTTTATATGTATTTATTTTTTCGAGCCTTGTTAATTGGAAATGAACCCATTTTCATTCTCTCTCTTTTTTTTAATTTTTTGGATGGTAACTGGTGGGTCCAATGCTGTAAGGCTAAAACAAAAATTCTATATATGGTTAGAAGATGTCCAATCATGCTGAATTAAGATGTCAAGGCCCATCACCCATCTGGTGGTGATGAATTAGGGCATCAGACAGAGAGAGAATGGCAAATTGTGATCCGGCTAGGACAATGGCAACTTGTGTTTTCTAACCTTCTGGCCCCTATTTCTACAACCATTCACTTGCATTCAGTCGCTCCTAATTACTAATGCAATAGCTTATCGATCTTTTCTACATGCTTAAATCATCTTGGTCATGGTTTACTTACATTTTTCAAAAAAAAAAAAATCACTTTAATTTTTCATGAATTCAATTATATACACTTAAATTTCACAAATGCTATCTGGTCATCCTGAATTATGTTAAATTTCAAAATATCGCAATGTATCAATGTGTATCGTACGGTACGTATCGGTTTTATGTTCAAACATTCTAATCCCACCTACCTTATGAAATGCCCCATAAGCAAAAAAATAAAAAATAAAAAATAAACTATATTAAAATATCCTTTCTTTTCTAGATGCATTTTGTATGGACTATGGATGTGTACTCCTTTTGATTGCCCAACAACCTTGATAACTTTACAGCCATTCTTAATTATATATCTTTTTTTCCCTTTCAGAAAGATTTGTGGATGTGTTGCTTCTAACTGCTGAATCTGTTTTAATAATCATGGCCTATAATTGATATATTATAAAACGAGTTTGGGCAGTTTCAAGTCTAGACTAGCCCTCTAAAGAACTGCCCTTTTGATTCCATAAGTTTTACATACTTTCCTCAGTGTCAAAGTCCAGCTATTAAACCTAGTAATTTTATTCCTAGGTTTAATTCTAAATACTTAATTAGTGGCAACTCCCCCTTATGTTAAGTTTGTTTTCAACCTAAATTAAGTGGGTTTTCTAACAAGTGTGTGCAGTAATTATGAGGTTTTTTTATAATTATATAATCAATCAGGTCAAGTTAATTAAGCCCCAGTTTTAGATGCTTAGGTTAGGCCTACATGATGCCATCCAGCTAGCACAATGAATTAATGCTGTTTTGGTGTGCTTGTTGAGATATTCTGTACATTTCAATATATACATGGTTAAAGAATTCCAGGAATTAGCACATTAGAAATTAATTAATTAGATGATTATGAAAAGAGAGAGGCAGGGTGGGAAATTTGCAAAAAGTATGAAGGGTATTGTTGGCACTGAAAAGTTTGTGAGAACTCTTCTGGCCTCTTCCCATATATCGCTCATATAACCAGCAAAAGAAACAATGAGTAAAACTAAAATAGGGAAAAAAGGGGGGGAGGTCATTTGCTCATAGTGGAGTTTCTACTTTCTATATATGAGTGCGTGAGATATTCAATATCTCGTGAGATTTATTCACAAAAGGTCGGTATTTGAGCACTTCATCATTCCTGTAAGGCTGTAATTTCAATTTTCAATGTTGAGAGAGTAGAAAAGGAATGAGATAAAGAAGAGGTAAAAACAAACAAACAAACAAACAAACAAACAAACACAAATAATGCCATATCTATTTCTGCAAAGAAAGAGCAACGAAAGGTACTGCAACATTTCTTGACATAGGGAAACCTTTAGAGAAGAAAAGAGGGAAGAGGCATTTTCGTAATTCCAGCTTGGCTACAAGGGCATTTTTGGGTGTCTACTTTTCTGTCAAGCTAAGGTAGCTTCCTCGTCAATTATTCTGAGCATGTGGTGCACTGCACCCGCTATGTCGTCTACCGAAGTCAGGTGGCATCCTTCCTCCACCTGCAATGAGAATGTTGAATCAGAAGTCTAGGCAAAGACCAAAAGCCTTTAAATACACCAAAAGATACCAAAACCAAGAGAATACAAATTTAGAATGTAGTTGCAAAAGTGGGGAAACATCTCCTTTTAATATTCCAATACCTCATTTTTCTAGTAAGATTGGGACTAGTAAACTACCCCAAATAAACTGACAAAAAAATGCAATTACGTGGGTTACCTCTATCTCTGTATAAGATGCATGACTGAATATTGCATTAATTACATACAATAATAAGATGATATACATATATTTAGTCATTTAGTACTCTCTCTCTCTCATTCCTGTTTTATATATATATATATTCTTTTATTCCGGGTTCAAGTTTGGGATTCGATTGGTCACCTGAATTGGGAGTGGGAATTGAGCCTTTCATTATAGACAGAAGAAAATGCAGGTTGCAAAGCCAGAGATTAATAATATATACATACCTTGGCACTGAAGGAGTAAAGCACCAAAGAGTCTAAGGTGGTGGTGACATTTAGGTGGAGGATGGAGAGGTGAAGCGTCTGGAAACCGACAACCATCTTGAACAGCTGCCTGGGTCTCCACCGCGTAAGGACTCGGAGGTTTGCGTGGGTCTCAACCAAAGTGACCTCGATATCGGCAATAGCCACTCTGTTGTCTTGTGGATACTCTCTGGGCGCTTGGCACCATGAGTACTGAGGGTAAGTGAAGAACTGCACGAAAGGAGGATCGATAAAGTTATTGGAGTAGTTGTTGCTGCTGCTCCTGTTGTTATCAAGGGGTCCTTCTCTTTGTTGCAGTAGTTGTCGCTTTTGGACCTCAAGGAATTGAAGGAGTTGCTCAAGTTCCTTCACAAATTCTATGGCACCACCCACTATGGAAGCTTGGTCGCCCTACAAAAAACAAAATTGCAAGCTAAGAGATTCCTTCCTTCTTTAATATTTAACATGGGTCCTTATCAGGGTTAATTAATAATGGCGCTCGCTGTATAATTAATTATTAAGACCCTTTTTTTTTTAATTTGTTCTATCATTTGTGGGTTTTGTTTCAATAACTAAAGACTGTACTTATATATCATTTGCCCGGTGCCCACTTCTACTAGCTAGAGTAATAAAATACACCAAAAATTTAACCAAACGAAGTGATACAGTAAAAGAAATAAAAATGATAATGCTCAAATTTAATCATCTCTAATAATAGACTGTGTTATATAAATAAAGATAATCTAACATGATTGGATGGTACATTCTATAAACCAACATAAAGCATGTGGTTATGTTGGGAACTCTTGAAAATCAGAACACAAATTACGAAGTAATTTATACACGTTTCAGCCTGTTAAGCAACAAAAAAGAAAAAGAAAAAGGCCCAAACTTCCAGGGTGAGATTCCAAAGCTTCATTTGGTTCTGAATTCTGATTTTCGAAAGCTTTCTTCTCACCAAAATATCAGAACTATAGCTCCACTTATATTACATTCAGTGGGATATAAAAGAAAAATTCTTACACATGTCATGTATGCATAAATATTTTACATATATAAATATTTTTTTTATTAGTTTAATTGCATAAGTATATGGAAATTGAAAAGGGTGTATCAGTTTTAAGTAGGTATTATTTGCCTCTAAGGTCGAAACCTTCTGTTTTCAATTTTCTGTAGAGAGACTAGTACTCCAAGATGAAAACTTGAAGAAATTAAAAGAAAAGAGAAAGGATATCTATATACCTTAATTCTTAAAGAAAATTTGGAAGAAAAGAATGGAAATAGAAGATGCATGGAATGGTTTCAACTGCAACAGATTATGAAAGAATGAGGGGAAAGGAGTATGGAGACCCTACCCTTTGTATGTAAGACTCAGGCATCAACGAACGTAGAACAGCGAGATGCTCATTCATCTGTTTCCGACGGTTTCGTTCCACAGCAATGTGTGTCATCCTCTGTGTCTCCGCTTCTTCCTTGTTCTTGCAAACCCTCGGCTTTCTCCTTCTCTTCCTTCGGCCTTGTGTGGTTGTCGCTGAATTCGATCTTCCATCAGTGGCTACCGAGGCGAAAGGGTTCCGACGCATCATTGGAGAGGACCCCTCGAAGGTCGGATGGAGTTCTAGTGGTCGAAACCCATCGAAATGCAGGTTACTTCCGACCCCATCAGAGACGATTTTGTTCTTGGGTAAGAAACCAGAAGTTATGGTGTCATAGTTGAAGTTGGAGAGATCATTGGAAGAAAGCGCCTCTAATGCCATTGATGACTTCAGATGAGAAAACTTGATCACTACACCAGTGATCAAACTTCACTTAGCTCGACTAATAAACTTCTTACAAATGAATAAAGACGCTGCAAACCTTGAGTATCAAAACCAGGCTTTTCATATCCCCAAACTCACTATAGTTCATGAGAGAGAGAGAGAGAGAGAGGTGGGGATGTGAGAACTCAGAAATGGAGAAGTAAGACTGTTAGGGTAGGAAGGAAATAGAGGATGCACGTGAGAGACCCAGTAAAAGGAGTAGTGCTTTTCTGCTTCAAAAAGTGAGGGAAAAAGAAGAGGCTCCCATCATCCTTTTGGTTTCCCAATTTCATAGATCTTGTCAACACTGTTGACAGTCTCTGAACTTAAAGGTGGGGACCCAAATCTATATAGAAATATGCATAAAAACAACAAAACAAGCTGGTAAAAGCTACTCTCCACAATTAAATAATTTCTTGGGCATGCAAGAAGTCACTGTCTCACGTACACAAAATATAATTTAAAAACAAAAACAAAAATATTTCGTTTATCCCCAATTCGCCATAGTTGAGTAGTGTACCGGAAAATCATCACTCATCAGCAAGGACCGTTTGGTAACCGATGAAGTGGCTGAACTGAATGACTTATTCACATGGATTGCTTGTATTGTCACCAAAAACGGGATTATTTAATTCAACAAAAAGACAATAACCATCTCCGGTATTATATACATAGATCCGCAAAAGTCATACTAATATATATATATATATATATAATAAACGAATCTAAAGTAAATGCTTGAATAGATGACTTTTTCTAGGCAGTTGATGAAAGATTATTTTACTACTCATTTTTAATCCTAAATATAATAGTAGTAATTAAAGCAGCTTAGCATAGCTAATCGTGTACTGCCCCGTGGTCTACAGATAGTTAGGCAGAGATTCCAAATTAAAAAAACATAGTTTATACTGATTGTCGTATGATCCAGCACAAATAATTAAAACCTACAAGTGATTGAGACTCCGAGGAGAAAGTACCCTTATGGTCAGCACTGATCATACCAATCAAGAGAGAGAGAGAGAAAGGCTCAAGCTTAACCCGAAAAGAAATGGGTTCTACCATCTTTTACGGAAGCAATACAGTGCCCACTTGGTTTATTTAGTGTCTCCAACCCGTCACGTTTGACCCGACCCAACTGGTTACGCAATCAGACATAAAACTAACTAGTTCATTTCATGATTCTACAAGGATGGTGATGGTGATATAATTATAAAGTAAGTAAATAAGAGCAAGCCAAAAAGAAATAATAAAAAAAATTGAAAGACATCATAATCAGCATTTCCCAAAAACAAATTCTTGTAATTTGAACAGTTATATTCCCAATGGAATGTGTGTAGCTTTTTGTTTTGCCAAAAGTAACCATTAACCTGAAAATGATAATAGAATAAAATAATGAGGAAAGCTGAATGTGAGAGAGAAAACAAAAAGAAGAAGGGTTTAGGGAAAGCAAAAGGAGTAAATGAAAAATTGGACGGGTTATGAGAGTGATTTCTTTATGGGGTTAAGATTGACAAGGACGGGTGTAAGCCTGTAAGGGTGGGTGGTCGGCCTTGGACCATGGTCCGAGCTGTCAGACCCTCTCTTGGCAGGCGAATCCATGTGACCAACAGCTTCCCCTCGAAAACAACATCACACCACAGCAATCATCCACGCACATTTTTAAGCCCAAATTCCCTCATCTCTACTTCTCCAGCTCTCCTTCTTTTCCCCACCATTTAATAGCAAGCCACAATCCTTTTACCATTCCCCTTGGATAATGGCTTTTAATTTCTAGCCCACAACATCTATTATTTTTATACATATGCATCTAAGAGTTAATTAATTTGGTTGTTTCTCTTAGGGTCTTAGATGATTTAATGGGAGGATGCTTATCCTTCATGCATAAGATAAGCATGTGGGTGCATGACTGCTAGGACCATATATAGATTTGCCTGGTGGTCCCCTTGCTTGCTTGGGGACCATCGATCTAAGATATCCACATGGTTCAGTGGGCCCTATATATAGTTTACTGTGTACTGGATGCTTTCTTTGTATGCTATGGTAGAGTTTATATGCATGATTTGTGCCATTCAAGTGATTGAGAAACTTGGTTGGAGCAAGCTAGCAAGCTATTCAATCATCTTTTTCTTTTTCCCAGCTACTACTGAAAATGCAATTATGCATCCTGAGGAGCGGGAGCCCACTGGTTGCTATGCCAGCTTTCCTACCATGTCCTAAGTTGGTGCTTTGCAGTTTGCATATATCACAACTGGACTGGGGGCATCTGAACTTCTCCGTATCTTGCTGCTGCCACTGTTTTATTTCTTTCACATATTTAATCGGTTAGAAAACTGTAGCCACTTTAAGCGATTTGATAGTCGTTCATGCTTGATTAGAAGCTTTCAGTAGTGTGTCATGTCATCCCATCTTTATTGTATAGTGATCTGATCAAAATCAGTTCCTTCATTTCAACTATATAATAAACTTTTATCACTTTCATATATGAAATGAACCAATAAGATTAGATTACTTATAATTAATTGTGTGATGGGAAGCTTGGTTCATTATTATTATTATTATGACAAGTCTAAAAATAAATAAGCATAAAATCCATAAATTAAGATCGAAAAAGTATATTAACTTCTAATAATAATGTTAATGATAGATTCTTTATTGTTAACAGGACGGCTGGACCCATTGATATTTGTATGAACACTTGTAAATTTTCATTTTGTAATCAGATCATGTGTAATAAAATTTCCACAAAAAATTTTCTTTAATGGAAACTTGTTCCTAGGTCCTCTTTATATTCATCTTCTACCCAAATTTCCACAAAAAACTTGCACATTAGAAAAATTGAACTGTGGCTTTTTGGATATTGTGCTTCCAATAATGAAGTTTACCTGAGGCTGAGGATATCACTTATGACTTGGATGGATCAATCAGTGCTGATATAAATGTACATTTATACAAGAGCATCCAAAGGTACAACGAGGGTTCATTCTTAAGAATCCCTAAGGAATCCAAAATTAATTGACAATATAAATTGCAGATTTCGTTCTCCCTTGTATTTTGTCTATAATTTTAAATTCTATCATGTATTTTATTTACTTACATTTTATCTAGTAAATTAAAATTTTATCCAATTATCTCCCTTATCAAAGTCAAACCCATTTAAAATTCATTTTAATACCCTTAACCAAACAAGTTAATCAATGAATGCAATTTTCATTTTCTCCCCTAAACTTTACTTAAAATTGCAAATAAGTGAATTTTGCATTTAAGATCGCCCATATGAAACCTAAACCAATTGAGAACTTACTTTTGTCACTCTTTCCCCAATAAACCAGTAAAACAAACAAAATATACTGCCAATTACTTTTTTCTACCCTACATTTCTGAGAAAATATCATAATGTAGAAGTGTGAACATAAATTACATGTATAAGTACATATATTTCCACTTGTCCCATCAACTTTGGGGGTGTGATGGACAACATGATCGGTTTTGTTTTTGAAGAGTTCAAATCAGCCCCCCCTCCCCACACAGAATGCATCCAAAAATGTCTCACAGTACATTCTAATTGTGTATCGGAAACATCTCCCAATGATAAGTATGAAAGATGTTCTCAATGCATGCTGAGATATGCATGTAGAGCGTTGTTGGGACACATTCTGTGGGGGGCAGATGTGAACTCGTTTTTGAAAATAAAAATGACTGCCATGTCAGTAAAAAACAATACAATTTTGCTGATGTAACAGTCATTTTTTTTTCAAGGAGAAAGGTGGTATTAAGTATTTTTAAGGTGAATTTGTAATTATAGATAAACTTTCAAGGGAATAATGAAATTTACCCTATTATAAATTATTAATTTTAACCAGGGTTTGGTATTTTTGTTTAGAATCAGAAACCAATAAAACCCAAACTGTATCAAAGGTGTCCTACATGGTTATGACTTATGAGAATGTGTAAAAATGAATGACCAGTCTGCCAGGCTTGCACACGCTTGGGCTTTGCATGTAAATGCATGGGCCAGGATTCAGCAGTACCTCGTAGGCTTCTCTTGTGCAAGGGCTAGACCCGTACCTCTCTATCCTGGGATTGCAGTCTGGGCTTTTACAACATGGGTCCAGCCCAGGTCGAATAAGATCCTTGATACACTTCATCAGTGATCAAATACTAGACGTAAATACTAAATAGTGCATTTTGTGCTCAACTTGAGAGAATATTGCATATGGGTCCGATCCATGTATACGCATACCTTGACTTGTACGGCTGTTGGATCCAATCTGGCCCATATACAACAAGGCTTATCAGCTTAGGTTTTGGGGCCACAGCGATAAAAACAAATACATGATTGAGAACCCAATAATTAGTGTTCACAGCCCGCTAAAACTCCTCTCCAACAGCAGAATTTGTGATTTACTTAATCACATATTTCCTAGTTTGTGAACTGATTAGTGATTATTCCCATCAAAAGGCATTTGGGTGCTAATAATCCAAAACCGCTAACTAGCCTTGCACTTCCGGGCAGGGTCCATCTTGTCAGATAGTCCTATAAGTAACATACTCTCAAGTTTTCCTCTGGTCTCCATCACCAACGACAAAAATCACCCTGACCAGCTGATCCACTTGAAGGCATCTGAGATTCAGATATATTTTAGAGTGACAATAATGCCCTTAATAGGGCAAAAAAATGAGAAAAAAAAAGGAAAAAAGCACACTGAATCACTGATAGTAGAAAGGAAAATCCATGGAAATGCTTTTTGACATACCCTGTTGTAGCCAACAGGTAAATGCTTTCTCTTATACACTTGAGGAATATTTTCTAGTTTACAAAACAATGACTACAGTAGATGTCTACATTACTTGAGCCTTTTATCTTTTATTGTTTGAACTAAGATCCTAAGGGTAGCTTGCAGATTAAAAAGGTTGATATTTCAATTTGAGAATCATTTGCAGCTAAAATCATGATGTATAAAGAAGTTATATTCAAATCTTTTGTAACAAGAACAAGAAAAAAAGAATTTGACATTTTCAGATTTTCTTCTACTTGCTATTAGAAGAGTGGATTCAATGAGATAGTCTGAGTGCTGATCTCCTTCCTAGTTCTTACTTTGTATTGGTAAAAATCCAACTTCACTTTTTCACCAATTCCCTTCTTAAACACTTTTTCACCAATTCCCTTCTTAAACACTTGGATTCAATGAGATGGGTATGTATCCTCAATCTGCTCTTCTCCTTACTCTTTTTTCTTTGTCTTTTTCAATGGTGATAATTCATAGCACCAT